GTGTATATGTGTATGTATGGGTATATACATATAGTTTTGTGTGTATGTGTGTGTATGTTTATATATGGAGTTATATGTATGTAGGGATATGTATGTATGTGTATATAGACAGGTGTTCGGATATGTGTAGAGGTGTGTATGTGTATGGATATATGGAATATTATAAAAGAAGGACCTAATTTTCTGTTAGTAATGTTTTATCCAAATTTCTCCTCTAATATTCTCCAATTGGAAATAAGTTTAAATAATACGGAGGTAAATTTTAAATTGATAATTTAATTTCAATTGAAATATATTACCTTTTAATAATCATTATTGTGATAAAATTATTTAAATTGGAATAATCTTTGATAATTATGTAGGTATCTAAAAACAGTCACGAGTTTAATTTATGAACACAACTCAAACGGATAGATGTCAACATAATAAACAACAAGAAAAAAGTTTTACGCACATAAAGAAGATTACTAGATGTAAAAGGAATTTATTCTTTCAATGTACTGTCTATGAATTTTTTCCAATCGACTATTTCATAGAAAATACCCAAAACTCCAACAAACATCAAATTAAATTCTTCGTAGATTTTGTAGACATTTAGATTTATATCAAACTTTAACCCCCAAATATACCCTTTAAAGGAATGCGAAATAACAGCGTCTAAGAAATTGAGTGAAACATTCTTTCATGATTTATGTTATTGTATCTTTTTCCTTTTATGTCGGTTTTCTTCTTCACCCCTTACCCATCTATATCTAGAGATAACATACGTTAAGTTAAGCGATGTCTGGCCCACACCAAGTGGGGTTAAGGATAAAGAATTGAAACGGTACATGTAACTCATGTCTTCTCTCCCACTTCACTTCCTCACTTCGTTAATTTACATATGTTTAATACGGCCCGTCAAAAATGTGTGAATTTCTTTTCATTTTTCATTTCAACCTTTGGAAGTAAAATCTGATGATCCAGAGCCCTTTAAAAGGGCTGTGGTGAAATAATTTATTACATGGAACCTTAAAGTGGTCAGTTTTTATTCAAATTTATTTGCTCTGAATTTACATTGAGCTCTCTGGATATCATCCTCCTTGGGTTTACCCATAGGGATTACCTAGTTTTGCATAAACTATATATATATATATATATATATATGAGAAATATGTATGTATATAAATATAGATATATGTGTGTGTGTGTGTGTGTGTGAACTGGGAAGCATCCGCCTCCAAAGACCATGGATCTGAGCTTGAAGAGATATAACCTGTTCAGGGCACATGTCTGTTCATTTATTTTTATGAGAGATCGGCAGTTCTCCATGCAGCACTTTTTCCCTCTCCACGCCACCGATGTTGTCCAAAGGGAAAGACAGAGGCCAATCCAGCTTGTTTTCTTTTTCCGTGTTTGGTTGCCAGATGTGCTCAAATTGCGCTACACACATAGTTGGAGGTTTTTTAATTGTACATTTTTCTTCTCCCAGACATATTGCCACCCAAGTCCATAGAAATCAGTCGGTCATGCGATTTACCCATAGCTGAGGACGGTGGGGGTGGTGTTGAAAGAGATAGATTCACATATTTTCCAAGGCGACGAACGTAAAGTAAATTTAATGAACTCGACTGGAATTCGATCTTTAGTGCTTCACCGTGCCTCCATATATATATATATATATATATATATATATATATATATATATATATATATATATGTGTGTGTGTGTGTGTGTTTGTGTGTGTGTGTGTGTGTTCATATTTCCTGTGATATTTTATATTATTTGAATCGATCATTACAAAATAGCGTCAGAAAGGTCAACCTATTAATGAGATTATGTCCCTTACTGGCATTCGTACAAATATTAAAGTAATGAAGGCGAAAAAAAAATGGCCGTTCAGGGTGAACGAAAAAAACGGAAATCTTTGTAAGAAAGAAAGAAAGAAAGAAAGAAAGAAAGAAAAGGAAAGAAAGAAACAAACAAACAAAATCAAAGAAAGATAGAAACAAAGAAACAAAGAAACAAACAAAGCCTTTGTGGGAGGAAATGAAAGAAAAATAATAAAAGAAAAGGATTAATTAAAAACAAAAAAGAACAGAAGTGTATTAATAAGAAAGGCGAAGCGTAATAAAATAAAGAGAAAGAAAGAAAGAAAGAAAGAAAGAAAGAAAGAAAGAAAGAAAGAAAAAAGACAAGAGAAATAAAGAAACAAACGGGTGAAAGTTTGGAAAATAGATGGTTTAAAAGCCAAAGAAAAGAGAATAAAGGAAGAAAGTAATAAATAAAATGATGAAAATAGTCCGACGGTGTTGAAGTGGAAGATGAAATTCGATGAAAGCAAAGAGCGACTTCATTTGGAGTCTCACCAAAATCCCGCAAAATGACAACAGATATATTTGTGGCTGGACGTGAATGTAAGTGTTTGAAGTAGGGTGGATAGATGTGTACATATATGTATCGCAATATCGATTTGAATGGACGTACATTTTTATATCCTTTCATTACATTATCTAGCAT